GAAATATGTCGGTCATCCCGATCAGGCGGGGGGCAAACAAGTTTTTACGTAACGTCGTGGGATAATCGTCGTTCAGATGCCGCGACCCGGCTTCCCTCCGCGGTTGCATCGCGCGTCGCGGGAGAGAAGAAGACGAAAAACAAGGATCGCGGGCGATTCCGACATGCAGTCGCACTTGCCGGGGCGATTAGATCCGCGATTAAGGCGGAGTAATCGAGTGTCCGTGACATTGACGTCTCGCACTGTTGACGGCACGACGCTATTATTTGCGCGCAATTATCTAACCGACGGGATCGTTTCCGCGGTGATGATCGATGACAGAGCGGATTACGAGCGAGTCGCTTCCAATTATTCTCCTCTTCTGACGTAATTCCAGGAGAAATTGCGCTTTTTTTCAGCCCGGTATATCTTTAAGATTGATTAGGAAACTGGTAATCTACATTTCGTGACCTCGTCTCGTGACTTTATTGAACATTAGTTCGACATATTTCGCTCGTTTCTAACGCAAAGAAAAGATAAAAATAAATTTTACAAGCTAATAGAGAAAGTCGCATTTCTACTGTTATAACGAATCGGGTCTATTTCAGAAAGGAATGTTCCCCTTCGAAGGAGAATGTCTTTTCACTCGGCCCATTCCGCGGTCACGTCAACAGACATTTCGCTCCGTTTCCCGTCTCTCTTGTAGTCACGCGTAGCGTGAACCGCGCCCACGCTCGTCCGAAAAAAGAAAGATATATCAAGAACGCGGCACACGCTGTGCGATCGATAGGAATCGGAATCGTAAGTGATTTTACGGACCGCGACTTTTCTTCAAACGGTGAAAGCCGAGGAGAGGACCCTCGAAGAAAGGAAGAAAAGTCCTCCCCCACCTCCCGGCGCGTTATCAAATTAGAAAACACTCGCGCGCGAAGTAAGACGAATCTTTTGACGTTACACGCGTTAGAAAGTGCTTTTCTGTTCACGAAAATTTTGCGGAGTAATCCGTACTGAAATAAGAGGTCGGCAATTAAATTCAAAAGTGGAACGTTTTGATCTCTCTAAGTTACGAGTCACACCTGCATATGGTTGTTTGGCGAAATATTAAAAATATCTTTCAACATTTATCTTCGACAATTTCAGTGCTATTGGTTTTATCTGCCACTAAGCTCGTTTTTTGCACATCTTGCACGGTTTATTTTTCCTTTTTCTGTTCACATTGAAGAGAAAAAGAGAAAAGATGCACTGTGCAAGAAATTCAGCTAAATAGGACAATCCTAGTAAGTAATTACTCTGAAAAATTTTGGAAAATTGCAATTTTTTGATTTTGTCGCAGGTAGAAAATTTGTGACCTTTTAATAATTTTCACGGCTCCGCGAATATAGATAAAGAAAAGAACGCGCGAGAGCGTGAAGATGCTCTGAAGATAGCCGGGAAGAATTTCCAAACAAAGAAGACGCACATTTCCATTTTTTCCGCTTTCGACGAAATTTCCAGAAAATTGCAGATCTCATATCTCCAAAGCCTCAGAGTGACCGTCCTCAAGAACGTCCACCTCCCCAGCATCTCGTACAATATGATCCCCGAAGAGTAGCCCAACACCTTCTGTCCCCCTTTCGTGGCGTCCCCGTGTGCCGACGCAACGCGACGCGTCGCGGAGGGGCACGGCGCAGCGGCGCGGCGCCGACGGCCGGCGCTCGCGAGTTCTCCCCCCGCGGGGTACCAGAGACCGGCGGAGGAAGGAGGTCACCCGGTCACCCAGATGAGGTTCCTTGCCCGCCGTTTGTTGCCCCCTCGTCGCGTCGCATCGCGCGCACCGACGGCGACGGTGGCCGGCCGGGGTGCCCCACCGACACGACGGTCCTGACCAATCCTGTCCCCTGTTTTCGTGCCGACCGCCGAACCGGTCGGCGATCCGGCACCCGCGGTACCGGCGCCGTGTCCAGATTTAAGCTTCTTCTTTGCCGGGCAGGATCTCCGGGAGATCTCGCTCGTGCGTTTTACGTTTAATTTTGAGCCGTCCGTCACTCGCGCGGTCACAACAACACCGCGGTGATCCCCGATCATCTTCCGACGTCAAAGGGATCGGAGCATTGAGCGCGCGATCGTTTTCCCGCCGTGAGAGGAACGGCCGTTGTTGAGCGAGCAGTAACTTTTTGGAGAACACACCATGGCTGTGAAGGCCACGATTCTGGTGCTGATGGTCACGCTGGTGGTCGTCGCGTCCGCTGGATTGCTCGGTGAGCTGTTCGGTGCAAAATGCGATTAAAGAAACTCCATATAGTGCGAAGATTCGGGTTCGCGCGGGTGACCGCGACGCCACGCCAGAGATTTCAACGCGCGGGCGATACGGACGCACGTGCTTGCCTGAATTGGCGCGACTGCGATTGTTGTTTTGTTATCGTTCATCGTGATAAATGCGATTGCAAAAAACAAGAGCTTACACGACCGGTCACTTTCTATTTGTTTTGAAAAATGAAATGTCGAAACCGGCATTTAATTTGTCTTGCCGCGGAGTAAGGCTAATTTGTGTCGCGAAGATAGTAATTTGTTGTTGGAGTAAACAATTAATCCTTCTTACAGTGTTATTTCGTCAAAAAATATCTGACAGTTTTATTATAGAGAAGAGAAAGCTACTTTTCCAATACAATATATTAATAATTTTATTTCTGTTGTTTTTTATTTTTAAGCAGACAAATTTTTATTCAGGATTATTTTCAAATTATCGCTCCGCTTCGAATAAATGTAAAAGTCTTCAAGTAAGAGTTCCTCATGATGATGATAGTCTAAATTAGACACGTTCTCTAATTTCACTTTCATCTTATATGCCATTCGATTCTAAGCTGCCTTTGTCTCTATTGTCGAACGTCATCTGACGGAAGGTGCGCTCGAAACTGTCATTCGGTCATTCGGTCTCGACAATGCGCGTGAAAGCGGTGGAAGTCCACGCATTGGCACACTTAGCACCCAGGTGATAGCTTCCCCGATTCGTAAACGTGGGCATAAAACGTGTTTCTCAAATGTCACAGTCTGATTCGTCATTCCTCCGAGGGGAGAATCCAAAGGAAACTTTTACGACGCGGCGCGACGCGGTGAAACGCGTAGAAATTTGACTCCCATTTGACTTTCGATCGGCGGCACGGACTTTCGTTTCGTTCCGATTTCTCTATTCCGAGTTTCTCTGCCGCGCGCGCGCGCGCGCGCTCGTCCCTTATCTTGAGCACCACAGGCGCGCGCGCGCACATACACACACATGCGTTTCCTGTCCGTATAGAGACCCTGCTTTCGTGGAACCTGCCGGAGGCCGAGGCGAGATCGACCACGCCGCAGTCCAAGTGCCTGTGCCAGACTTCCGGTTGCCTGTGCTGTGTCGACTTGAACTTGACGTCGACGATCGATCTGGGCGGGCCAGCTTGCGTCAACATCAGGCAGAAGGAGCAGAATATCTCGTTAAATCTGAGTTACGGGGATAATCCGATTCACAATGCGACGATAACGATCGGCAAGTAGTTAAATCATAATAATAAAAGAAGAAATCTTTTATCCACATTGAATTTTAAATTAAATCGAACATCGTCAACTTAAATTATTCGTATGAATTTAATGCGTTAAATTGAGCTGAAATGGAGAATTCAAAATATTAATAAAACTTTTCACGTTCCAAAATTTCACGATCTGCATTTTATATACCGATTTACGTCTATCGAATACCCACGCTTGTTTACATTTAAAAACAAGTGACAAACTGATTTGAATAAACTTGCAATTGTCGATATTAATATTCTTGTAGCGAACGCGGCCAATAAGCCGACATGCATAAACCTGTTGTCGGATTTGGCGCAGATCTGCGCGCGATTCACATCCGTGAAGCAATCCGACGTCGGTGGCTACGACGGTTGCATGGTAATCGAGCCGGCTTTGTTGGGCACGCCGCAAGCCACATACCACATAGGATGCTTCAATTTCTATCAGGGTGTACGGCAGGTGGAGGTTTCCGTGTAAGTATCTCTGCTTTCTTCTAGTCGAGAGAGAAATACGACTAAAATCTGGGGAAAGAATTTCTTGTTATTTTCGTTGAAATAATCTTATGTATGTACGCAGAAAGAAAAAGAAGTGTCAAATCAACGCTTATATACTTTATATACGCAGCGATCTATAAGCTTGAAGATTATGTTGCGTAACGAAGAAAACTTGCTTAAATAAAGTCATTTACATAGTTAAACGAGGTTTTATATAGCTCAACCAAGAAAAAAAAATTGAAATAAAAAGTATAAACATTCTTATAAGAAAATTATAGATTGTGTATATACACAGAAAAAATGCTGTTTAATTAAAAAAAATAAGTTGCTTTAATTAAACGTCGATGTCACGGACTGCCTGCACAAACATAAATAGTTAATTCAATATTATTGGACCAGATATTTGAATTATTAAAACAACTATCTGATGTTGTTTGTTTATTAATATTGATGTTGCATCAACAGATTTTATTTCAATTACACTAATACTATTAATACATTATTTTTTTCCGTATATAGGAGTATAAGTTTTGACTTGACATTTGATTTTTTTCTGTGTAGCATCACGGAGACGACGGAGCCCGCCGAAAACGCAGACGAGGAGGACGACACATTGAATACCGATGAGCTGATCGCCGCAGTGTCCGCCAGCGCTGAACAGGGTATCGCGCTGTTCACTCAATGGCTGGGTCTCAACCTGAATCCAAAGCTGAATCTTACCAACAAGGAGCACGGACACCAGGACAATCAACAGCAGCGAATGACGAATAACGAACGCACAGCGGAACCGTCGTCCACCGACGTGTCCTCGAGATCGGCGCGGAATATGGCCGATGTCGTCCAGAACGAGAAGAGCGACGAGCGGTTCAAGCAGCTGTTGAGCGCCCAGGACAATATCCTGAAGGGCTCGGCGACTATCGGGCAATCTTACGGCGCGGAGACCACGTTTGTCTACTCCAGGCCGAGCGATCTGATGACCGAGAGAAACGCGACCGAGGAGGCTAAGAGGAAGCTCGAGGCGGAGGCTGTGGCGCCGCAACACCGGGTCGTTGTGCCGAAGGAGTCCAGGAGGGGTGGACGGGCGTATAACATTCATCAGCACGTCAACGAGATCTGAGCCCCGCCGTGTGATCGGTGCACCTCGTGCAGGAAGACTGCCGACGATTCCTTCTTTTAGAGCTAGAGTGCCGCACGTAGACTATAATATTCGTATATATGCACGCGGAGCTGGGGGTGATGAAGAGGTCATCGCTTCGTTCGACCGTCTCATGGCCGTGAAAGGGTACGCTTTAGCTGCGATAATTCAATTTTCACGATTATTACAGATCGTGATCCTCGGTAATATTCATCGGCGTTCCGATAATACCGTCAGCATATCGCAATTTGCGGTATGGCGTGAAACAATGGGATTGAAACTTCGCACCATAATTCAATCTTCGGCAGCATTTCCCGAAAGTAGCACAATCGCTATCATCATATCGCTTTTATACTGCTCTATAGTATAGAATGAAGAAATAAAATGTCTTTCTCTTTAATATCAAGCTGCATAATGGTTATTGATGATCTGTTGTTTATTAATTATTTTAAAATTTACCTATAGAAGTCTAAAGAAATAATTTTTATAAGTTTGATTTTATTGTTAGATTATTTTACTAAACTACTATTGCTAAATCTCTCTACAAATTTTTCTCGTTTTGGTGCGTAGTTTACCCTGCTGTCGCGATCTTTTTCTATCATATCAAAAGTTGATGCAGTCAAATTGTCGGCTTTTATGAAAAAAAATATATAAATTAGTGATATATTGTATACTAGTTATTTTATTAAAAAGTATTATACATTTCAAAGTGAAACTGGAATGGAAAATCTAGATTCAGGCAATCACGTTAAATAAATTCAAACTTGAATATTTTGTGCAGTTCAAGCTACGCAAAATATTACTTCAGTAAATTTTATACCGGATAAGCGATCCGTAGAATTTGAGGCTATTTAAAGAAACGATTCAATTTTTCGATAATAAAAACTTCTTCAACAACTTCTATAACAAAATACTTATAGTTTGAAAACAATATTGGGAACAATGTATTAATTATACATAATACATAATACATTAGTAAAAAATACTTTAAATAAATTATATAGGTATATGTAAATGGATGTAATGGATTCTTTACTTTTAAAATCCGATATTTTGACTGCACCAATCCAATAATTTTAATGATCAATTAAAATACACATCGACGCGAGCGTTGTTCCGATTCATCGTACGTGCATCTTAATTAGTTATACTCGCTCAGCTCCTCCCGTATGATCTCCCGCGATTGTGATCAATATTTGCTCTCGATTTCACTCCAAAATCGTCGCTTCTCTCGCGATGATATACTAATTTTTTGATAATTACTCACAAGATCTTGACTAAACGTACGATCCTACGTTTTACCGGAAAGGTTGATGACCAGTTGCTAACTAACCGGCGATTTATTTATTTTAAAAAGAAAAGCTAAAAGTGAAGATTCGACGCATGACTTCGAGTTCCCAGAAATCGGGTGTTGTCCATCAATAATAGCATAGGCGTTTTTATTCGTATTATGTATTTCCTCCTCTTCAAGTCCATCGATATATTAAGTTAAGAGAAAATACAATGACAGTTTCGCGCCGACCGTGTACATACCATATACAAAGATATGAATTGGTAAACGGAATGAGCTACACGACTGTCGCGAGAATATGCAATTAATTACGCGTGTGACACAGAAATGATAAATAAGTAATAAAATATTCACCATATGTTTGTTCTGTTGTTCATTGCCTTGTTAGCTTCGTCCTTCTCTTTCTTCTTTTTCCTTTTGCTTCTTTTCATGTTCTTTTATTGTAGTTGCTTCTTCATAGTTTCTTTACAAGATTCTCATTTGCGAAACAGATCGTAACTCTCGTACATACCTATCCCAATCCGAAAAAATAGGATATATCTTTCATAATACTTCCACGATGTTAGAATTAAACTAAATGTAAGATACAATTTCTCACGCGAACACGATTATCGGTGTAAGCGAAATTCTTTTAAAATTTTAAATTGAGGAATATATAAATAAAAAATAAAAAATAACTTTTTATTAGAAATAAAATATGCTCTTATTGAACAAAGTAAGTGTTATTCACATATTTGATAACTAGTGTTTTATTACTTTAATCATCAATATCTAAATTAAAAAATAAAAAAGAACACAT